ATGTCTAGTTCATAATAAATAGTTTTAAATATTTTCAAGATTACTGTATCAAATTTTATAAAAAAAACTGATGCGTTTTTTCCAACCAATAAGTTACGCTGATATTATATTTATTAAAAATGCGTCAAGAACGTAACTCAGAAGATCTATCAAAAAAGTAACCACAGATCTATCAAAAGTGAAACTTTGCTTTTGTATAGATTAGTCACCCAAATTTAGTCGTAATAGGCCAGAGCCAGTATTAATTAATAATATCAGCTAACTACATTATGGCAAAATTAACATCCGACTTTATCAATTCCGACCTTGAATTCTGTTGCGCGACTAATCTATTCAAAATTTGAGTATGATCTTGGTGTTTCTAAATATTCATAATACCTCACAAATTTCAAATCCAAAACCCAAACAAAATCCCAAATTTCAAATTCAATACTTTGTATTGCAGGAAAAATTTTTTGCGACTACATGAATATATTCTGTAATATAATGTTATGCGTGAAAATTTTGTTTAGTGCGTACATAGTTACTATCAAGACCAAATTAAATACTCTTGATCCATCAACAATTTTGATTGTATATATCTGATAAAACAAAAAAAAAGTACTGCTAAAGATTATTATTGGTAATAACCATTTGTTGAGCATATAAAATCAATAAATATATTATACTATAGATTAGTATAAATAGGTTTAAGATAACAAATTTCTTGTGTCTCTTATTAACATTAATATTCTAAGATACTTTTGCAATGTTTATCAAATTTATAGTTTTAACAATAAACATCAAATATGTACAGTACATACAAACAAATAACAAATCGATTCAACATATACAGCCACCTTTCCCGCCTATAAAAAAAAACAACTCTTTTTTTATTAGTCAGGAAAAAAAAACTGGCTAATAATCATAGCCTTCTTCAGAATCAGTCAACTGTTTACCAATATCCAAATGTTCGGATATAGAATCATCATACAAACATTTAGTCCAAATAATTGCCAAGAACAAGAAAATCCATTGGCAGACTAAATTTGCAGCTCGAGCTTCACATGCTTGTTTAATCTCCAATGAAGGGTATTCATAATGCGGTGGACAAAAAAATGGGATTTCACCCATTTCATTCCATGTGAAATGGGTGTAGATTACTTTTTTTAAAAAGAAGGTATGAAATGAATTGAGAAAATATAGTTATTGAATGTAAATGCTTAGAATTATACTTACTCGAATATACTATCCAGAATACAAGTAGCCACCTGCGCGTTTGTTAAAATTGGACCATCGAATGAATATA